GCATTGAAATTCCACAATTCCATGCCACATAGACACATAACTATGTACATATACGTGTACCTAAGTATTATATATATATATATATATATATATATATATATATGTATTAATGTATGTAGGTGTGTATAAATTCAATTGTCATCATTAATAAATTCATAAATATGCGATTAAATCAGATTGTTTCGTGATATTAATGATTTACTAAATCAATTTATAAATATTATACATTTTCATAATTAATAAATTAATTATTTCTATTCTGATAATTCCTCTTTTTATTGAAATATCACAAATTTCTCTCCTTTTCTCTCTCTCTCTCTCTCTCCTTTTTTTTCTTTCTCTTTCTTTCTTACTCATAGAAGGCACGAATTTTCACGTTCCAATATCCTTGAAATTCGGTTGTGTTCAATATATATATATATATATATATATATATATATATATATGTATATATATGCATATATATACTTCACGATCGAATCTAACATATACATACCTATATATATTATATATATATATATATATATATATATATATATACGCATATCGTAGTTCGTTAGAAAAAGCTTTGGGGTTAATAAATGTTTTGCACGTTGACTTGACCTGATCTTAAAAGGTAGACCGGTGGGATAAAAATAGTCGAGTACTCTCTCTCGATCGAGAGGGTACACACAGACTGTGTCGAAGAAATTACACTTCGACGGTTTGGTCGATGCATTTCTTCGTTGGTGGACGATGACACAGCTCTCGCGGAAAAGAGAAAGAGAAAGAGAGAGAGGGAGAGAGAGAGAGACGTAGAGAAAAAGAAAGAGAGAGAGAGAGAGAGAGAGAGAGAGAACTAAGAAAGAGAAAAGAAACGAGGGTATGGTAGCTGTTAAAAGGAGAAAGAAAATAGGAGGAAGAGAAGGTAGAGGGAGAGGAGGAGGTGGTGGAGGAGAAGAAGGAGGAGAAGAAAAAGCTTCTTCATCGTTTTTTTCAACCTCCTCGTCTCTCCTTTGCTATGTGCTTGAGGATTCTGATCTCGAGTGAGAGATAAATTCTCATCGTAGATGTAGATTGATAATAACGACGAAAACAGAAAGAGAATATATATATATATATATATATATATATATATATATATTTATATATACATATAGAAAAGAATCGAGACTTAAATTATATTTCAGAATTGTAATTAATTTCGATTTAACTCGCGCCAAGTAAAGAGTCCTCTTATTTCATCGTTCTCGATATTTTCACGCTTATTTAATCGACGATGCATTTCTATTCGTATTTTCTTTCTATGAAATTTATACTGCAGCACTTAACTCTTTTGCTACTACCGTCCTCTCATCTTTCTCCCCCTGGACCAGTCCCCTCGACACTGACGCTATCTTCTAATGTTAAGCGTTTGAAACGGTGCCACATTAAGGAGCGAAAGAAATAAATGAAAGAAATATGAGAGAGAGAGAGAAAGAGAAACAGAGATAGATAGTGAGATAGAAAAAATGATAAAAGTAGAAGAAAGGAAGAAAAATACGATCGTTTGCCAAAAATATATTTATATATATATATATATATATATATATATATATATATCCCGACGAGTTAAGATACGTTATAGCTAGATTTTATCCCCTTCGGACATCACGTGCAACTTTTCTTTCACTTGGACCGTCCAGTAAATGAAGAAGATGAAGAAGAAGAAGAGAACGTAGAAGGAAGTGAAGAAGAAAGAAGAAATAAAAACGAAAAAAGAAGAACACAATTTTCTTTCTACATTTCTTATTCCGTATCTTTCCTTCTTTCTTTCTCTCTCTCTCTCTCTCTCTCTCTCTCTCTCTCTTTTGCTCTTTTTTCTTCTTCCGTTGCCCTTAGTATTCCGTCAGATACACAAGACTCGATTAAATGCAGGAAAGGCGAGCTTAAACGATCGTTTGGTATTAAAAAGGAGGACACTCAAGGGAAAGATAAAACTCGTTCTGAATGGGGAAAAGAGAATTATAAGAAGGTGAGGACATTTATCGCGATGAAAATTCACATTAGTTTTTCTTTTTTTCTTTTTTTCATTTTTTTTTTCTTTTTTTCTTCTTTTTTTTTTTTTTTTTTTTTATCATTCCCATTCGGGTATATATTTTATGTAAGTAAATATGTATGTATGTATGTATGCATGCATGTATGTATGTATGTCTTTTTCTTTTCGAGTGGAATAAGATGAGAAAGAAAAAAATCGAAGTCCTTAAACGTGGCAATGCAGATATTCGAGGATACACGTTTCGATAGGGAGAGCCTGGCTTCTCTGCTTATCGAGAAAACGAAAGCCAGAGAGAGACAAAAACAAAGAGAGACAGAGAGAGAGAGAGAGATAGAGAGAGAGACAGAGAGAGAGAGAGAGGAAGATAGTAAGAGACAAGGGATGAATCTCCCTCAGTGGGCGAACGCGCACACACACAAACGAGCAAGGCTCGGTGGATTTTCTGTCGATTTCAAAGGAAGATAAACGACGCATTGTAAATTAGATTACCCAACCTAAATTCTGATTCCACACGGAAAGAGAGAGAGAGAGAGAGAGAGAGAGAGAGAGAGAGAGAGAGAGAGAGAGAGAGAGAGAGAGAAAGAGATCATCTTTCGTGATTTCTAAACATTCGTATATCTACTATAGACATGTTAGATATATATATATATTTTTTTCTCTTCCCTTTTGATATTTTTCTATTAGAAGAGATTTGATTAAAAAAAAAAAAAGAAAAAAAGAAAAAAGAAAAGAAAGAAAAGAAAAAAAGAAACCGACAAATAATGATTTATGATGCGTCAATTAAATCGAAGAAAATTGAAAAATTCGCTTTTATAAATTACCTATAAAATAAGAGGAAAAGAAAGAGGAGAGAGAGAGAGAGAGAGAGAGAAAGAGAGAGAGAGAGAAAGAGAGAGAGAGAGAGAGAGAGAGAAAGAGAAAAAGAGAGAGAGAGAGAGAGAAAGAGAGAGAGAGAGAAAGAGAGAGAATTTCATTGAACACGAAATGAAATTAGTTTCTTTTTAATTTGTTTTTTCTTCACCCCGTTAACGAGAAGACCATATAACTTAAAGAAACCTTTTACAATGACCCAAAGGACGTTAGGATGCACTTTCCGAATATTCTCCCTTCGAACCTATCGAAGGCTTATTGGCTCTGTCCTTCAACTTTTTCAAGTAGTTTCTCAGAAAGTTGCAAAATGCGTTTTAGTAAACTTCTTAAAAGCACAAAGACTAGTTCTTCGTCTTGTTCTTCTACTTCTACTTCTACTTCTTTTACTTTTTTACTTCTTCTACTACTTTTTCTCCATTTTCCTTTTATTTTTCAATGGTGTGAGAACAGAGACGGAAAGAAAGAAAGAAAGAAAGAAAGAGAGAAAGAGAGAGACAAGATGAGAGGATATCAATGCTTCTCTCGACAATATGCATTTTCAACTTCGTATGACAGAAAAAAAAAAAGTAACATATTTAACGACAAACAGCCCTTTGAATTGCCTCGAGTGTTTTCTTTTCTTTACTATTTCTTTTCTTTCTTTTTTTTTTTTTTTTTAAATCGTTCTTTATGTACACATATAATATACCTATGTAGACATGTACATGTTTCCACCGAACTACCTTCAATCACTAACTCTTCTTCTTCTTCTTCTTCTTCTTCTTCTTCTTATTCTCTTTCTCTTTCATTTCTTTTATCTATTTTTCTATTCCGACACATTCTATTCCATCGTCAACCCTCTTTCTTCAATGCTTTATTTCCCACGTTATGTAGACTCTCTATTTCTGTGGAATAAAAAGAAAAGAAAAGAAAAAGAAAAAAAGAAAAAGACAGAAAAAGAAAAAAAAGAAAATATGAAAGAACTAAACATGACAAACGCGAAAGGTTCCTTCCTTCCCTTCCCTTCCTATCTCTCTCTCTCTCTCTCTCTCTCTCTCTCTCTCTCTCTCTCTCTCTGCCCTTTCTATTTTTCTAACGAAATCGCGTATATTGTGATTTTATTGTATACGAGAGAACATCTTTTGAGAGTTTAAGAACCAATTTTCCAAGTTTGGTCGACGAGTGCCATTGTAAAAAATTCTTTTGATTCCTTTTGTAAAACGATCAAGATATTCCGTAAAGATGATGTACAAAAAATATAATAAATAAATGAAATACAGAAAACATTTGCCTTTATAATTTCGAATTGAATTTTCGTGTTCTGCTTCTTTCTTTCTTCTTTTTCTTTTTTTTTTTTGTTTTTGTTTTTGTTTTTATTCCGTTCCTTTTTTCTTTCCTTCCTTTCCCTTCTTCCTTTTTTTTTCTTTTTTTTTTTTTTTTAATTCCTTTCTCTCTCGATTAAACTTTTAAACTTACCAGCGACTCGGGCCTCTTTGCAAGCCTCGTACATGTCCTGTTTGATCTCGGGATTGTCGTCGGCGATTGTCTCGCCAACGGTGACGAACCTTTCGACCGCCAAATTTACCGCCTGTCCAACCCTCGCGACAGCACGAAGACTCCGGTCGGAACATAGCGGCCGTTCTCTGTGCGACACTAGCGTAGAAATCTGCAAAAAAAAGAAAAATATCAAAAAAAAAAAAAGAAGAATAAGATCTCTCTTAGAATCTGTTTGATTTATTAAAGAAAAAAAAAAAAGAAAAAGATGAATGTTTTAATTTTTTACAAATTTTTTCTTCCCTTTTCTCTATCGCAAACAAAAAAATTAATATTCTCTATTCATATCGAATATACGATTTATATTGCCAATAGGTATGATTAATGAATCTTACGATATTTGATCATAGAATGAGTATGATTAATGAATGTGATATAAAAATTTTATAATATATCTGTATAGTATTTTTGTGCCTTTTATGGAGATGACAAAAGGAAAAGACAAAAAAAAAGATTAAAAGAAACAAAAAAAAAAAAGAAAAAGAAAAACAGAAAAAGAAAAGAGAAAATAATTATATTGTACGTAAACATAATAATAGTACGTACTATTATTATGTTTTAATGTATATACATAGTATGTGTGTGTGTGTGTGTGTATGTGTAATCATCATATAATTATAATGAAATGCAAAAAACTGTGATTTACATAAATATATTATGTTAAATCAAAACGAAGAACTAACAAAGGTACGCTTATTATGAGTAATTAACATTAATATTTAATTAACGATAAAATTACTTTCTATGCGACTACGAGAAGTGGTCTACAATGAATGAACAAACGAACGAACGAACGAACGAACGAACGAATGAACGAACGAACGAATGAACGAACGAACGAACAAGTTCGAGATAATGAATTCCATAGTCATCTAACCCAACGTTATTTTCTACATAAGTACTTTGCATGCACAGATCATAAAGAAAAATTGCGTCGTCATGTTCTCCTTGTTATCGTCATCGTGTCCGTTACAAGAGTACTCTCTTAGATAAGACGTTCACATCTTAAATGACATAACATATTAGGGGGACCGGAAAGTAATGTCGCTTCTGCGCATGTCGATATTTGATTGTAATTAAAAATAAAAACTTGTTAAAAATTTATTTGTTTGAATTTAATTTAAAAAAGCGACATTACTTTCCGGTCCCCCATAATATAAACGTATTTTGTTTGAAAAGGAAAAAACGAAGATTCCATATATATATATATATATATATATATATATATATTATAAATAATAAAAATTCTAATTATATTTATACTTTCACCTGTTTAATTAACGTTAATTAATTAATTATTAAGAATAAAAAATATTAAAGAAATAAAAATGAAATAAAAACATTAATTATATTAATTCAATACATGTCAATATATATATATATATATATATATATATATATATATATATATATATATATTTCTCTACATCTCTCTAAATATCATTTGATATCACTCGTATATCTGTATATCTGTATATGTGTATATCTGTAATATAAAAATTACAAGTCACTGTGCTTGCTTCAATTAACATTCTCTCTCTCTCTCTCTCTCTCACTCTCTCTCTTTCTCTCTCTCTCTCTATCTATCTATCTATTTATCTATTTCTCTGTCTTTTTGTTCCTCTTTCTTTTTCTTTCTTTCCCACTTCATCTCTTCATCACTCTCTCTCTCTCTCTCCCTCTCTCTCACTTACTGACTCGGGGCATAACGTTATGTTACTATAGTTACCATGTAACACCATTAGGAGTCTGCCTGTGAAATTCACGACGCATATACGATGCATTTTCCATACAATTAGACAATGCATTCGGGTGCTGCCTCTTTCAGACGATTCTTCTCTACGACGTGAATAGTAGAGTGAAAGAGAGAGAGAGAGAGAGAGAGAAAGAGAGAGAGAGAGAGAGAGAAAGAGAGAGAGAGAGAGAGAAAGAGAGAAAGAGAGAGAGAAAGAGAGAGAGAGAGAGAGAGAAATACTAGAACGAATGAGAGTACGAGAGAGAGAGAAATACTAGAACGAATGAGAGTACGAGAGAAAGAAAAGTCAGCAGATGGAAAGAGGCACGAAAAGGTGCGGACCCAAAGCTATTGTTTTACCAGATGAATGCCGAGAGACTCTACCGAACGAATGCGAGTTTTCTATTCGTACATATGTATGTATGTATATATATATATATATATGTGTGTTAACATGTCCTAGAAGAAAAATTCCAAAGATTCTTCTTTTTTTACATTTTTACTTTCTTCGCTATATCTTTTTTCTTTCGTTTTAAATCGTTCATCGAACTCCTACCATTTAATATTTTAAAAATTATTTACAGATTTAATTATGACTCTCTCTCTCTCTCTCTCTCTCTCTCCTCTCTCTCTCTCTCTCTCTCTCTCTCTCTCTCTCTTTCTGATAATTGTCATGATTTATAATATTATTACTGATATAATATAATTTGATATAATAAAATTTAATAAGATTCGATAATATTACATTACTCGTCAATTACAATTTTTATCCATTAGATAATATTAGTCTGTAAGAATGAATTCATCGAATAATATTGTTAAATATGTGAAACAACGTGTGTGTCATTGTTCGCGACTTAATCGTTCTTTTTCATAAGAATTCAAATTTATGATTATATGTATATCGTGAAAAAGAAAGAAAAAGACAAAGAAAGAAATAGAGAGAGAGAGAGAGAGAGAGAGATGTTCGTAAAAAAAAGAAATGAAGAAGAAGGAAGAAAACTGGCATTAATCTTACTTTTGGTCTACGCAAACCATTACAATCAGCCGCATTGCTTAAAGAAAAAGATAAATAAAAGAATATACGAAAGTTTTTTCTTATGAAAAGTTAGAACGGCTTGGCATTACAATGGAAAACAAATCATTCGGAGTTTCAAATCGCATACACCCTTATCTGACCTAAATACATATTATATCGTATCGAAATCGTTTAAGATAAATTTTTTTTCAAAAGAAAAAGAAAAAAAAAACAAAAAAAAAAAAATAAAAGTGAAAATAAAAATAAAATAGGAAGAAAAAAAGAAAACAAAAAAGTAGAACGCCGAAGAATGCAACGTTTCATTCTCATATTTTTGTGGACAAAAAAAAACGGGACAATTATTTACAATACTCTTTACATCAATGACTCTCAAAGTGAGAGTAAGCGATAAAAACTTTTAAACAGAGAGAGAGAGAAAAAGAGAGAGACAGAGAGAGAGAGAGAGAGAGCACTGTGGATTAAAAAAGATAATAAAAAAAGTAAAAACAGAATTAAAAAACTGTTCAAAAAAACTGTATCTCTCTTTATATGTTCCTAAAAATAATGGGTCAAACCTTTCGATACCATCCTGTATATATGGTTTATCAATACAAAATTTAATTTGCGTAAATATATAATAACATGTGTATACATACATATATATATATATATATATATATATATATATATATATACGTATGTATTTTCCCCATCGTTATACTATACAACTATAGTTTTATCCATTTACAAAAGTAATGGATATGCCACAGTTACGTGCACATTTTCTTAGGATGAAGATATTGCACCTGCTGTGTATCTCCCTTTAAAGAAAGATGGGGTTGGAGTGCGAGGGGTAGCTTCAAGACAAAAAAAAACAACAAAAAAAAAGAAAAAAAAAACAAAAGAAACTTGAAAAACATTATCTAACATGTTATCGTCGTTCTAACAGAAATTGAAATCGTCGAAATCGCTCGGAGCAATGAAATCTAAAATCGTGCAAACACTCGGGTGAAAAGTCAATTGGCCATACTTTCGTTGGCTGATGCCTTCCGGCTTTTGATTCTTTGTTAAAAGGGCTTCAATTTGCGTTGAGAAAAGCCGATGGTCATCGTCGAATCCTGTGGGTATGGGATGAATATTCAGGCTTTGCGTTAATTAAGGACTCGTGAAGAGTAAAGGCCGTGCTGTGGGAGAGGGACAGGGTGGTATGAATCGGGTGAATGGGGTGAGTAGGAAAGAGAGGGAGAGAGAGACAGCAACTATGGTTGGATTATATGCATAGCAATGAAGATTCTCTCTCTCTCTCTCTCTCTCTCTCTTTCTCTATCTATCTATCTATCTATCTATCTCTATCTTTGTCTCTGCCCACAAAATCCAAAAAATACAACACGTTCGTTCTCTCATCTAACCAAGCTGCTACCACCTTCCTTTCCGTCTTACTCACTCTCATTCTCTCTCTCTCTCTCTTTCTCTCTCTCTCTCTCTCTCTCTCTCTCTCTCTCTCTCTCTTTATCTGTCTCTTTTTCTCATTTCCTTTCTCTCTTGCTAACTCGTTCTTCCATTTTTAATTTTTGTTTCTCTCAGCTAATTGCAAGATTTGTATGATCGTAAAGGAGGTCAATTTTTTGATTCCATTGATTCCACTAAACTCGATAAGTATTGAAATGTATAGAAAAAAGAAAAGGAGAAAAAAGAAAAAAAGAAGAAGAAGAAAAAAAAAAAGAGAACAATTTCATAATTCTGTTGCTCAAAATCAATGTTTCAACAACGCGAACAGACATTTAGATGTTTCTTCTTCGACGTTATGATAATTACTTCGTGAAAAAAAAAAGGAAGAAAAAAGAAAAAAGAAAACAAAAGAAAAGAAGAAAAGAAGGAAAGGAAAGTAAAAAAGAAAACGAAATAAAAGTAACAAAGAAAGAAAAGAAAAAAAAGCGAATGATCTGCGTCTTTTTTGGAAAAAGGGGCAGAAACGTAGGCGAGCCTTAAGAGAAAAAGAGAAGGAAAAAAAGAGGAAAGAAATGGAAAGGAAAAAAAAAGAAAAAAAAGCAAAAAAAAGACGAAAATTTCTATGGTCGCATTGCGTTGCCGAGACGAATATCCCCGTGAAGAATGTATTCCAGAATGCCCGCTGGACATTTTTCGATGCGATGAAAAAAAAGAAAAAGAGAAAGAAAAAGAGAGAAAGAGAGAGAGAAAGAGAGAAAGAGAGAGAGAGAGAGGGGGTATAGGGGAGAGAGAAAGAGAACTATCCAGCACGTTCTAAAATATTTTCTTCTTGAATATTGGAACAAAAATTTCTATTAAAGATATACGTTCTCTCTCTCTCTCTTCTCTCGTTCTGTCTCTATCTCTCTCT